CACACCCCGCACTGGGGATCAACCCCACAACCCGGGCATGTACCCTTGGCCGGAATCAAACCCAGGACCCTTCAGTCCGAAGGCCGACACTCTATCCACTGAGTCAAACTGGTTAGGGCAAGAGATTAATCTTGAATTCTCAATTGTGTCTTAAGTTTTTACCTACCTTCTTGTTTTGAAGTAACTATGGATGTGTGAAATTCACTATTAGAAGATAGAAGATGTGGAGGGTACACCTGCATGGGGGTTAAGGTTTATATGTCAGTGGTAGCTGTGCCAAGGATATCTTCCCCTGTGCCCTAGTTTTTGTCTCGTGCTATTAGTTTTCTAAGTTCTTGTAAAGAGGTTTACAAATTTACACCTCTCTACCTGAATTAAAAAATATTTTTTTGGAAAAATAAGTTTAAACTTTTATGCTGGGAAATACCAAATAGAAGTAGTAGAGTACCCATTTCTCAGCTCCAAAAACACAGATCAAATCGTGGTCAGCCAGCCTTGATTATACCTCACCAATTCACTGCTCTACCTCCTGCCCTTATTTGGCAGAGAATCTCAGATAAATGACTTCATCCCCAAATATTCCAATTCAAGAGGAAGGTAAGAACTTTAAACTTAACGATAGTACTTTTATTATTATTTAAAAAGTTAACAGTAATGTCTTACTATTCAGTTAGGTTTTCCTTTTTAAAAAAATACATTTTTATTGATTTCAGAGGGGAAGGGAGAGAGAAACATAAATGACTAGAGAATCATTGACCAGCTGCCTTCTGCACGCCGCCACACTGGGGATGGAGCCCACAACCTGGGCATATGCTCTGACCTGGATTCAAACTGCAACTTCCTGGCTCATAGGTTGATGCTCAACCACTGAGCCATGCCAGCCGGGCTCCTTATCTCTTAATGATTTGTTTTTATAATTGGTTTGTTCAAATAACATCTATATATGTGGCTTTGCTTTTAGTCACAAGATTCTCCATTTTTTTACCGTGTAATTTAAAGAATTGGATCATTTGTCTTGAGGAATTTTCCATATTCTGAGTTTGCTCATTGTAACCCTATGGTGTCACTGAACATATATTTTTTGTCCCCTGTATTTTAAACTTATATATTGTAAGTCTGCATCAAATTTAGGTTTGAAAACTTTTTATTGGTCCACCTTGACA